GTCCAGTACATATTATACTGGAACAGACAAAGACAAGGTGAAGGGCAAGGGCAAGCATCCACATCTGGTAAGGCACCTAGTAACTAACATCTGGTTAGTACTGTGCTAATTCTTTATAGCAATACATTGGTTCACCTCTACTACCATGTGAGAAATGTATGATAATGAATTTGGATTATGAGAGCTGAGTAACAAAAAGAGGCAAGGTTGCCCATACTTGCACCTTTTGCAATAAGTGGAGGATGAAATGCATCTGGCCAAATCAACTGGACACACCCTCAACTGCTATAAGCACGACCACTACACCCACACCACCAGTCACACTCATTGCCACTCACTTCAAGACCACCAGAAAGAGTAAGACTAGTGGGCAGTCTAAAGGCAAAGGCAAAGGCAAATCTATTATTTCCAGTTGTATGTCTACTAATCCTATCCTAGACATGAAAGCTCAGCATCCCAGTCCTATCTCAGAGGAACCAGATATTGACATTGAGATGGTTGATGATGCTTGTGCACTAACCAGTACTGGTCTTCCTGATACTGCTCCAGATGCAGTACCTGCAGTATCCGCTGATGATTTCCTGTAGATTAGTGGATTAAACCCATGGATGACAGTATCTTACCTCCGGCACTATTCATGGAGACACCAGACAATATCCAGTACTTGCCCATCTATCTGGCTCACACTGAATGACCACCCTCTCCTGCAACCACTTCCATACCTCTTCAGTCTCACTGGCATCTCTGTCCTTTAACTAATGTGGAGTGGATACTATGTTGGCCCAAATTCAGATTAATATGGATCAGCTCTAGACACATAATGTCATTATTCATGATGACCTGTCCCATCACATCGACCAGCTGCATACCAACTATACAGAGCAATTTAGCACCCAGAAGGGACTGGTAGACCACTTGACTGTTCAGGTTTTGCGGTATTGCCTAGTACCTGAGGGACAATTAAAGAATCACTATAGCAATGGCCTCAACTCCACTAGCATTCAATCTACCACCCATTGTCATCCCTGGTACCCTCATATTCCCTAAGTTTGACTCCATCAGTGTTTTGGATCATGCCATCACTAACAATGTCTTTACTTTGGATGTTTTTTGACTAATGGATGTTTGGTGGAGATGGCTCGCCAGTTACAAGGCACAAGCAGGCATCCTTACCTGTCTCTACCTTCACCATCAACCCTGTCTCCACCATGAGAGAATCCAGTCCACTCATTTATCTGGTTGATACACTTCCAGTACCACATCCCACTGTTCCAATAGATTCTATGCCCTCCACTAGCACCCTTCATACCATGATCACTGGGCCATCAAATATGCTAGTGGATGGTCAGTCTATCTTAGCTTCTTTGCCAAACCAGTCATTTGCATCTTAATCATGGTAACAAGGTTAGTCAGTAAGTGTTAGGCATCATAAGAACCCTTCTGGTGATAGGTCCAAGTAATTCTAGTATATATCATTTTTTTTACTTATGGTTTATACCAGTAAATATTGTGCCATGCTTTCAATATATACAGAACAATTTATTACATAATTATACAGGCAAAGTATTTCTTGGTTGGTAAGGATAGTCTAATACCATGGTAGATTGTACCAAATGGTATATTAGATCAACTAATTAGTGTATTCAAGATACCAGACAATAGGCTTGAGATTATGAGATTTGCCTGTATCAGATGATAGGCAATGTGATTATGGATGCACCTACTGGCTGATAGATTTGACTGGATCTCCAGTGTATATGATTCTTTTGGCTCAATCATTTTCATTGTACACTAGATTTATTATTCATAAAATCTCATATACTAGTACATTCCTATACCACTGTCTATACCATATACCCCCAGTCCATCTATTTGCCTTAGCTACACACATTCACTCAGCTCACTTGTCTCCATTGTAAACTGGATTCACCACTCATAATGTCCTATATACTCTTAGCCCATCTGTTTGCCTTAGGTATACACATTCCTCTGGCCCACTTGTCTCCATTGTAAGCCAGATTCATCATTCATAATGTCTTATATGCTAATACATTTCTATATCACTGTCTATATAATATACACTCAGCCCACTCATATATCATGGCACAATTATTGCTATGTGCCCACATGAGATGACTCATCCCATTGGTACATTGTCATGCTCAGCTGCCCATCTGAGACAGGTAAATGTTACTGTATTATATGGGAATAATGGTACTACCATATATACCTTAACACTGGCTACTTTCTTCACTCCAAAGAAGGTCTTTTGAGCAATAATCATACTACATGGAGCAACAATCAACTGCTCATTGTATATGTGCCAGTGGCCAAAGACTGCCTTGAACTTCTTCCTTCCAGGTCTGTCCTGAGATGAACTGGTAGCAGGAAGTGCTCTCATGGTGTTCTCATCAAACTCATACTCTTCCTCATCTGATAAATCATCTGTAAGAGATGTGTTGGTGGTAATGGTAGTTCTGGCATGAGCAAGGCGCTCCTGAAGCTGAAATCTGGATTGACCACACAGCTCATGAGTATCCTCAACTTGATGATATTATGGTATTGAGTAAGTGCATCAGCCACATACAATGGGCAATTAGACAGCAGGGTGTGGCAGTTATAAACTGCTGTAAAGAGTTGATTTTGTGTAGGCACTACAGGGGTGGTTTCCTTAGAATTTAATGTGCAAGTGTAATGTTCATCCCAAAGAGACTGCCTATAGAACTATCTCTTGATATAAAATGCAAGGGATATCTTGTTAAGATCGAAGGAGAGAAAGTAGAAAGGTCACCCAAGTGCATTCTATGTTTCTGAAGATATGTCTGAAGTACCAAAGTACTGGTCCGATGTATCTGAAGGTGGTCCAATGTCAAGAAATCAAGGTCCGAGGTTACGTGAAGTGTTTGAAAAGCTTCCGATGAACAGCGAAGGTTCTGAGAATGAAATACGGCGGGTATGTTGAAGTGTAAGACTTGTGGAAGTACTGAGGTACAACTAAGCAAAGCCTATCGAAAGAACTAGGAGATAGTGAGATGTGAAATGGCAGTGGTCAAGCCAAACAATCATTCCAAATGAACAAAAAATTGATTGCATGAAGTATGACTATCTGAAAGTGACTCTACTAACTATGACTTGTAGCAAGGGAAGTGAAGTGATCTGCGAGCAACTAGCAAGCCAGATTATATCCTACAGCGTGAAGGTCTGGAAACTGTATAGGTGAAAGTAATAGTGAGATAAGCTATCTGAAATATAATAAGACTTGAGGCGAGCTGTTGCAGAGATATGCATGTAATAACGCACAAGGCATGCTGCTATATGTACTATTCAAATAAATGATTAGGCTTCAAATGGGCCGACAATGTATGTGTCCCTAAGACATAATCAATAATAGACAGACAAGGTAAAAACGCACCAGCAAAGTCAAATGGACATGGACAGGACATGGTACAGAGGATTGGAAGTGTAAACAGGCCTTGGAAGGAGACAGACGACCTTCAGACAACTCAGATGAATGTGCAGAACTTTTTGAAGGTCAAGGGAGTGTTGGAGAATACAGTATGAGTTATCTGTGAAATTGGCAGGATATGTGCCCAACACCAATCTGAGTGCTATACCACACAGCATGGATGGCCAACAGGGATACCATTAACGATAACAGCAGACACTTTATGTGTGACTATATATATCTTACCAGTTAGTCCCACATAGCCTTGAAACTATGACACTCACTAACACCTCACTCATCTTCATACATGCTTGTATATCTATTGCAGTAGTGGCAATAGACCTGCTTATAGCCATAAAGCTGAATGTAGCAGTTCCTTGCAATCATGGCCTCCATGAATCGGTCCCACTATTCACCAGTGTAGGGAGCAATGAGGGTGCTCATGTAATGCTCGCAGTCCTCTAGCAGTGAAGTGATTAATTAGAGTCAGTTTGGAAACTCAGAATTTTGAAAATATTTGCAACATTTGATGTTGAGGCTGTGTGTTTGTTCGGCAGACGGACTTCAAATTTGCATGTCAGCCTTCCAGGCATCCCTGTACTAACCTACCAAATTCTATTGCTTCATGCTCACTACAAGGCTGGTTTGGCCATTTGCCCCAAGCCAAACAGTGTAGTTACACTATTTTATCTTTTTACATACTTGGTATACATCCTCACAATGATGGAATGCCAATCAGCAGTCCTCCCTGGACTTTAACTTCAGCCAGATCTAAGTCCAGCAATTGATTATACAGTGTCTCAAAAAAGTGTCTGAATGTTTATGCATTTTCAGGTAATTGGATAATGGCAAGCTAGGATAAAACTATAACAACATAGTATAGTAATATGTCTGAAAGCCCTATATTCCAGCTCAAATCTAAGATATATAGTGTGTGAACCAAATCATATATAGGCAAGATATGGTAATTTTAAATTCATGACTCATTCAGACACTTTTTTGACTTTTTATTAAAATCACAAAATCAAACCATTCATACATTATATTCTTAATTAAAGTGGTGTCATTATATTAATATGGTCTGATTTTATAAACCCACCTGAGATCATGAAATTCAACATAATCATCATGAAGCCCATCTCCTCTGCTCAAAGGGATAATATTATTGTTCTCTGCACCTCTGGTTTATCTACTAGGCAAATTGCCTCAAACTAAAAAGACTACTTGCTGCCTATCAAGATCCTCCAAAGGGGCTATTTGAACTATGAGAGAGAGTTGTAGCAGAGTGGGAAAAGATTGCTGAAGAGGAGTATTAGAAATTGATAGACAGGGCCTCAGGACTTTATGCCAACAACAAACAGTTGATTGGTGATGCTACCCAGAACCAGGCCACTATGAGCCCCCACAATGTGTAAGTTTTGACCTCTTTTTCCATTTCTTGTACTAACCATATCTTGGTAGTGTTTTTGATGCCAAGGTCCAGTTAGACATCAAGCACTTCCCCTTCACTGTTTTCAACAAGGCTGGTAAGCCTCACATCTGAGTAGAGCAGGAGTTTTCTCCCCAGGAAATCTTGTTGATGGTTCTTCTTAAGATGAAGGAGACTACTAAGTCCTACTTGGGCTACAATATCAGCGACACCATCATCACCGTCCCTGCCTACTGTGACAACTCTCAGAGACAGGCTACAAAAGACGCTGATACTATCTCTGGAATGAACATTCTTCGTGTTAGTGATGCTGCCCAGAACCAGGCCGCTATGAGCCCCTACAAAATGTAAGTTTTGACCTCTTTCATTTCTTATGCTAACACATCTTGGTAGTGTTTCTGATGCTGAGATCCAGTCGGACATCAAGCACTTCCCACAGTGTCAGAGCTGAAAACTGAAGACGTCGAAGGTGACCACAAGCTCTGATTATTCAAGATTGGGATTGATGCTAGGCATGATGCTTCTCTTTTTTTGTATGTTTGTTGAACTCACTCATGCTGTTAGCCTGTGGATACACAGCGTCTGCGCTGTCTTTCGGATCAATCATGCAGGAGCTGGAAAGTCATCAGAGTTGTGGACACTGTTCTTTCGACTGTGGACACTGCTGAAGCTGCCACTGCATGCAGTTTTTGTCTTTGATGGCCTCAAGTGCTTGCCAGACAAAGGCCACAAGGTTAGAAGTAGCCCCCACTGGCTCACTCATGACTTTCAGCACATGCTGGAGTTGTTTAGCTTTCACTGGACTGAAGTACGTTCTCTCCCCTTATGATGTCACCATCTTACCAGTGCCATACTAGGCCCTAAGCGAAGCTGAAGTGGAGCTGGCTGCCATGAATGTCCATGGTGTCATTGATGCTGTGATGACTGAGGACAGCGATATCTTGATCTTCAGAGCTCCATGCATCATGAGAAGGTATGCTGCCATTTTTCTGTTGATGTGCTGCCATTGATTTTCGTCGGTGCGAAATCAACGTCCAGGTGTTCATGGAGGATGGCCTTGAACATGGCTGCTCATTAAACCGAGGAGACCAGCTGCTAATTGCTCTGCTCATAGGCGGTGACTATGATGCTGGTGTGCCTGGCTGTGGTATTGAAATCATGCACAAGGTGGCGCTGCACAGTAAAATCGGCCAGATGTTGCTTGATGCATTCCTCTCCATGACACCAGATGAATTCTCTGAGTGGGCTAAGGAGCTCATTGAGGATCTCCATACCCTACTTTCTACTAATTCTTACAATTCGCTTGAGCGCAGGTACAAGGCAGTTGCAGAACACATTCCTCGAGGTTTCCCTCAGCATGCAGTAGTCAGCAAGTATGTTCACACTTTCACATCTTTTTCGGCCGGTGCAGCTGCATTGCCCTGGGACATCTCATTCTATCAACCAGATCTTGTGAATCTTGCAGACTTTTGCCGTCAGCATTTGAGCTGGGAGGATGATGCAATCGTTGAGAAGATGTATGGGGGTATATGGGAGGGTGCCTATCTGCATGTCTTATGCAAGGTAAGCAGCACTGTGTTCGTAGGCAGCTGCTAACTTGTGTTTTAGTTGCCAAAGTGCTCAGCAGACCAGGCAGACCTTCGACAGACATTCAAAATCATTTCTCCGTCGACACTTATGGCTTTGAGGCACGACATTGAAGTTTACAGCATTAAGGTTGACTGTCGGTGCTTGGGGCGCAATACTCTGGGAAACGCTACTCCTGGCCAGTTGTCTGCCTTGTATATGCATGTTCCAAAGGCAACTGCTGAAATAACTGCCAACAATGACATGTATGAGGACATTGCATTCAAAGATGCATTTGAGAGCGTACCAAACAGATGCTCTGACAAAGTGCTCGCACTGTACATGTCCCTGAAAGGATTCCACAAGAACCTCAGCAAAACTACAGTCGAGAGCATCCGTTCAGCATTTAAGAAGATGTGGGAGTTATCGTGAGTACATACATGAACATGAACACATGAGCACTGACCTACGTTTAGAGATGGTGATACCTATCATGGCAAATGGCACTTCAATGAGGCAAAACAATGCTGGGAAGGAAATCCTGCTGATTCCGCAGACATCTATGATGTGCTGTTGTCGATCAAGCATAAGGCGAGTGCAGAGGGTGGAGATCGGACTCACTCGATGGCGATGATGAAGGACTACATGGATCAGGCATTCTGATGGCACCAGGCTGCATGCCCACTGGATATTGCACTGAAAATGATTCAGAAGGTGATGAATGGCACTCGGCCCTCAGATATTTGTTTAGACTTAGAAATGAGAACAAAACTCACCCGCCATCTTGAGCAAGTCATGTTTGCATCAAATGGATGGACATTGTGGACCAGGTGCAATCTTGCTCATTCGTGGTCCATATGCAATCTGACTTGTAGTATATCTGCAGGTGTTTTGAGCTCATCAAATTACAATGAAAGGACATCTTACTCGACACTACCGTTTTGGATGGCGTACTCAAGACATACCTTGCAAATGAGACACTAACACTGAATAGATGTACGTCATACTTTGAGATCTTTCTTGCGAACCGGAAAGGATGGCAAAAGCAGGTAGACAAAGGCCAATGGGAGGCAGACTTAAGATGTGAGTCACTTGCATCAAATTCAAGAGCTGATATAGATAGTGCATGACTAAATGACCTTACCAGCAAATCACTACAAGATTTATCCATGCCCCGATGTGCCAGCATGTGACAGTTTCTTCTGGACCATGATTTGGATCAAGTGGCTCGAATCATTTCATTATGGGCGCACCCTCCTGCCAAATGACTTCCTCTTTCCTGCCATGAGTGCGAATAGTGTTATGCATCCTGGACAGCCAATATCTCATGATACTGTACAAAAATGGATCAATGAGTCTACTACTGGTGCTGGCATCCATGGTAACTTCTTGACTCACTGCTTTCATCAGGGGGGTGCACAATATTGGTTCATGTTCGCTCCAGTAGGTCAATGGTGGACACTTGCTAAAGTTTGTTGGTGGGGTGGTGTCATATCCGTGTTCCGGACCTGGACCAATCACGCAATCATCTCTGAACTTCTGGACTTCCAGATCCGGTCAGCTCCTATCTTCCATGCCTTTTCCCTTTAGTATTTCCCTTATCAGTTAGTATGCTTTATTTTCCATCCCTTATTCATTTCTGTCTTTATTTTACTAAGTTCCAATAGACTAGTAATAGTCATACCACATGCTCTGTCCATAGCCTCGCATAGCCTCATGTTAGTTATATGATTATTCACCTCTACAGTACACATTTCTATGTCTTTTATGTGTCTAACCTTGCCATTTCACTTATGGTATCATTCCATACACTTTGCTACCTATTTACATGACTTCCTGATCTCCCTAGGACGTCCCTAGGTCGAGTTATTACTTACCCTTTGATTGTGGCTTGTCTGTTTACATTTGTTTACCATACGTCGCCCATATCCCAGAGTCCAGTGCTTACTGCCTCTTTGGCAACTTACTCTGGACTCTAGTCTGATCTCTTCTGGTCTCTCAGTAGCCTCTAGAAGCGGCCCACTTCACTCCCATCTTAACACCTCACACTGCACTGACTGTTTCTCCGTTATGTCCTCAGTAGTATACAAATCCTGTACAGTCCTTGTAGTTCCTCAGTTCGAATATTATCTTAGACTCTGCTCATTCCCTCCTCCGTCTGACTTGAAGTCTCTTCTCGTCATCTCTGACAGTCTTAGGATCGACTCCTATAGACTTACCACCTCCGCCTCTACCTTAGGTAGTCCTCCGCTGTTTCCTTTCTAGTTTGGACATCATCTGGATTAGTATTATCACTTGTTCCCGAACGTCCGCCGGAATTCCCACGCATCGGACTCCAGACTCCAGACATCGTCCTTTAGCCCTCGGAAGTTAGGGGCACGTACTTGGGTAAGGGGCGCAGCACACGAGCTGAAGCCAAGCCCTTCGGATCCGAACCATTGAGCATGTTCTTAACAGGTGGATGGGCTGATGGTGAGCATGTATGTTTCCTGTGCTCGCACCTGATGCTTCACTGACACGGGTGTTTTTTTTTCTCATCATGTTTATTTTCAGTGTGACACGCTCGTTCGCTACCTTCTCGACGAACTACATGCATATGAAACCGACTATAGTGATGCCCTTGCCCCCATCTCCCGTGGCACTGATGCCTCTCTTGCTGGTGAGCATGCACTTACTAGACCAGCATCCACAGAAGAGCTTCGCATGGTGCATGCATCTGTTGCGGCAGATGTCAACAGCCTGCGCAATGACATGCGCTCCCTAACAAGTGTTGTAGTGCAGGCTGCCTGCAGCACAGCAATCACTCTCCAACACATCAATTTGAGCCACCACTTTACCAATGTCTTTGAGTGTGCTTCCTGCACAACAACTCCACCATATACCACACAACCTGTCGGAAGAGCACCCACCACAGTCGAACGGCCACTCTCACCCAGACCTGTTGTCAGCCCAATGCCTACCGTGACCCTATCCACCTCCAGCACATCACGACAGCCCCGAGTCCCCACCACAGCATCCAGGTCGCAGAAACTCTCTACGCCTGGCCTCATAATCCCTCAGGTTCCAGTCACTCATCCCAATGGCACTTCCAGCCCAAAGAACAAATCCTAGAAGGAAATCGTCGAGCACTGGCTTATTGGCGATTGGGACCGAGGACTGATGACACCATTGAAGGTACACCGGCACTGGCAGGTCCAACATCTTCACTGGCACCAGCACAAACCTCAGTGCCACCAATCGCCACTTTGCCAGGTCCCAGTATTGTCATCAAGATCCCTGGTGGTGCAATTTCCGGCCCATCAAAACATCGCAAATGACAATTTAGCGTCAGCCCCCCACGTCCGGTCAAGAGGGCAAGGAAAATAGTCAAGTCCAAGCGAATCTTGAGTGACACCAACACTGACAGTGATGGAGTTCACATTGAAAAAGGACATGATCAGGTAAAGGGCAAAGGAAAGGCAAGAGTGAGGTCACCATCATCAGATGACAATACCCAGGAAATAACGATGAAAGATGCCACTCCTGATCTGGAAGTCAAGGTAAGTCTCTTTTCGCATCTTTCACGTGCTTAACAATACTACGCAGCCACGGCAACCGACACAACATCCGCTCAAAAAGGTATGTTCATTTTTGTATTTTCAGACAAACCTAAAATTTTCACAGCAAAGACCGGTTGTCGACATCCGGACTCGGCCGATGCCACCTTCGAATACCAGAAACAAGGGTGCTGACCATGCAAAATACGAGCCGGAGGAAGATGTGGAGTCTATTGGCGACAAATGAAAGGTTGGTACTGCTTCTACCTATTGGTGCATGCCTGATCCGGTTGCAGCCACGTCTTGACCGGGTCAAAGACGCGAAACCGGTAGGTCCATCTCATTGCAACACTAGTCAGTGCCACCAACATAATATTGCACAATAGTCTATGTCAGATGCCCGGCATTTAGGAACAGACAAGGACAAGAAGGGGAAGCGTCCACAGCCAGTGAGACATCCTGCCATTGCCATCCGGACAGATCATACTCATACTCATCCTTCACAGCAACCCATCGGTTTATCTCATCGACCGTGCACGAGATGCATCGCAATGGATGTAGAATGTCAGAGCTGGCTCACCAAAAAGGGCCTGGTAGCCCAGACTTGTGCATGTTGCAACCGGTGGAAGATGAAATGCATCCGGCCAACGCAACTGGACACGCCTGCAATCACCGTGCCCATACCACTGGTTGCACCCATCACCACTCGCTCGAAGGCTACCATAGTAGTAAAGCAGGCTAAGCAGTCTAGGCAATGCAAAGGCAAGTCTGTCATGTCTGGTTGTGTCCCTACTAAGTCATTCTTTGTCATAGATACTCGGAAGCCTAGTCCTATCCCGGAGGAACCGGATGCTGATGTCAAGATGCTCGATGATGCTCCTACCGTGCCAAGCGCCGCCCCAGTGCCATCTGATGACGATCACCCTGAGAACCATTGGATTGAACCCATGGATGATAGTATCCTACCTCCCGCACCGTTTGAGGAGACACCAGATGAGGTCCGGTACACTCCTGTCTATCCGGCTCGCACTCAAAGGCCCCCCTCCCCTGCCACCACTTCCATGCCCATTCAGTCTCATCAGCCTCCCCATCATCTAACTAATGCGGAGATTGAGACCATGCTGGCCCAAATTCAGATTGATATGCAGGAGCTACGCACACATGATGATACCATTCACAATGATCTGTCTCGTCGCATCGACGAGCTGCGTGCTAACTATATAGAACAATTCGGCCTCCAGAAGGGACTGGTAGATTAGTTGACTTTCCAGGTGGGCAGAATGGCGAGGTACTTGAGGGACAACCAAAGGGCTGCTGCATCATTGGTCACAACTCCACCCACATTCAATCCACCACCCATTGTCATCCCCGGTACCCCCATATTCCCTGAGTTTGGTTCCATCAGTGCATTAGGTCGCACTGTTACCAATAATATCTTTACTCCGGATGTGTTCTCGACTGGTGCCTGCCCCGCTGGAGATGGCTCGCCAGTCACAAGGCATGAACAAGCGCCCACATCCAGCTCTACCTCCACAATCAATCCGGCCCCCACCATCAGGGAATCCAGTTTACCCATTCAGCAGGTTGTGGCACTGCCAGTGCCAACTCACACGGTCCCAACGGAATCCATGCCTTCCACCAGCACCATTTGCATGTTGGTCACTGGGTCACCAAATGTACCCGAGGATGGTCAGTCTGTCTCGGCTCCCTTGCCACAGCGCTTATTTGCGCCTCAATCACGCCTACAAGGTCGGTCGGTCAGTGCTAGGCATGCGAAGAACTCGTCCGGGGATGGGCCCAAGTAATACTAGCATACATGATTCATTTTTTTCTTACTTCTTTGTATCAATGTATTAGATCGACCGGTGAATGCATTTACAATGCACCAGACAATTGGCATGTCAGATGACCGGATAAAATTGGATGTACCGGATGATACACTTGTCAGATCGATCCACCCGGTGATAGACTTTCATCCGGCCAACCTGTATATCCGGCCCATCCACTATACCCTCAGCCCACCCGTTTGCCCTGGGGTACCCATTCATCCGGCCAACCTGTATATCCGGCCCATTTCTCTCCGGTAACTGGCCTTGGCCCACCCGTTTGCCCTGGGTACCCATTCATCTGGCCAACCCGTGTATCCGGCCCATTCCTCTCCGGTAACTGGCCTCGGCCCATCCATGTCATGTGGGTACACGCATTTCGGCCCACCCGTATCCACTGTACACCATTCATTATATATAATGTCCTATATAGTAGTAAATCCCTATACCAATGTCTATACTTTTTACCCTCGGCCCATCCGTCTACCTCGAGAATACATTCCGTCGGCCCACCTGTTTCCCTCGAGGACCCATTCCCTCGGCCTACCTGTCTCCATGGCAAACTGGATTCATTATTCATAATGTCCACATATAATAGTACATTGCTATACCACTGTCTATACTATACACACTCGGCCCATCTGTCTGCCTTGGATACATACATTCGCCCGGCCTACCCGTCTCCATTGTAAACCGGATTCACCATGATGCCCTATATACTAGTACATTCCTATACTACTGTCTGTATTATATACTCCCGGCCCATCCATTTGCCTCAGGTACACACATGACCTCGGCCCACTCATGTATCATGGTACAATTATTGGCATGGGCCCACATGGGATAGCCCATCCCTATTGGTACATTGTCACGTTTGGCTGCCCATCTGAGACGGGTGAATTCACTGAAGGGGCTCAGCCCTTCTCCAGCTAACGCTAGTTCTACGGCACGTCGCCAGCTCGGAAAATTATCTGAGCCAGTCAGCTCGGGAATGTGATTGAATTTTCCCATCGTTCACGACGGGGGAGTTCATTAAATGAATGTAAGTGTTGCACTGTTGCTTTGTGTGTTGTCTGAGCTGATTAGAGCTCAGGGCTCATAACCTATACGTGTTAGCGATACTAATGCGAAGCAACAACTCAGTTATGTTGGGGAACAAAACTAGATTCACAAGTACCTAATGCAAACATCAGGAAATCAACCCGGACTTGATATGACCAGGTAGAGCTGACAAATAAAACCCATTATGATACATCTAGATTTAGAATTACACATTATTATCTTGGCATAACATGTGTATGAAAAAATATATGACTATGCTGGGGGCAGGTCATTTTGATGTGCATCTTGCAAGCATGCAACAAGTTTATGACAGAATATATGACTAGGTCTGGGGCAGGTCATTTTGATGTGTATCTTGCAAGTATGCAACACATTTATGATGAAAGATATGAATTGTATCTAGATTTCATAAAAGCTGCAATAACTACTATGAGTGCGACAGTCTGCTTTCATTTACCCATCCAACAATCTGACATGGTTAACATCTACAAAGCTTGATAACTATGAACTACAGATTGAAACTGACAATGGACATCAGGACAAACCTCCCGCTCTAGTTAGAACTAATTTTCACTAATTTTCGAAAATTAGTCTAACTTTCACTAATTAGATAAATTAGATGAGGACCTTTGCCTGTCTTCCCGCATTTTCCATGCGGCATCTTCGCATGTTTTCTTAATTTCTCAGAGTTCTTAAATCCCTGACGAGTCTGATTACTTAGCATTCGAGACAGCATTGCAGACCCGCAGAAATTTTTTGTTCAAAAATCGGACAAAGACATCAAGAAGCTGGAGAGCAGCGTGAAGGATCGACACATACAGCATGCCCTTCATCAGCAACATCAACCTAAGCTTGGTCAGAACGGTCAATGACAACTTATGCCATTCCAGGTTTGCTCTTCAGCGTTCTCAGTCCAGCTGACATGCTAATGATCTTCCAGATAGATGGCTTTAATTGACTGTGACAATTGGTGGAACTTGCGTCATTGCTGATTAGATGGACATGGTATGCCTCGCCCATCAGTACATACTATTCCTCCTTGCTCATGTCCAAATTGCGGTTCTTGAAGATACTTTCATCCAAACTTCACGCTAGAGGTTATCGTTTAGTCAGGTGAGTGGAACACTGTCCGGTAGCTTATCCTGATGACCTATGTTCCACAGTTTTTTTATGGGGCTTGATATTATTGAAGACTTCATGAGAGGCGAAGGCTACAAGTACTACCGCCTGGTAATTATCCATCCCCGCGTTGAATGCAAATGGCGATCTTGACCCTTTCTGGGACGGAAATACTAAACTGCCTGGGCTGATCGCCAAAAGGGCATAGACGAGAACTCGGACCTTTTATTTA